ATCCCATAGGGACACAATGGAAAGTTCGGTTTTATGCTCTGGGAGTACTTTCTGGTCAAGAACAGAGCAGTCCTCGGGCAGAACAATTTCTCTCTTCTCTTTTCCCCTTCTCCTACGAAACAAATGTCCCACAGACCAGAAGGTGACCAGATTTAATATGGCAAAAGTTACAGGAGCAATAATGTATAGATGCCAGTGATACTGTTCTGCTTTGATCGGTGGGTTTTTTAACTTGAAGGCCACAATAATTGATGCTAAACAAAATCATTTCAATTAGGAGTCAAATCCCAGGAGCTGCAGGCAGGGAAGAAGGGAAACCATAGTTTTGCTGGGATCTAAGTGGAGGCTTCTGCAAACAAATGTCGCTTGCTGGGCTGGTCTTTTGCCCATGCGGCAGCAGCAGGACATCTGAAGAGGGGACTTGCAGCTGAGAATGCTGAGTTTATATTTTCTTTCTCCACATCATACAGATTAGATCTGCTTTTAAGGTGGAAAGCAGTCAGAAGTGTGCTCCTGTGCATTAATGTGTTCCTGTTTGGGCAAGCGAGTCAGTTCATACTTGCAGCCAAAACGTGTCCCTCCAACAATTTTCCACAACACCTGAAGGAAGCAGGAGCACCAGACCCATTATTTTTAGCACCAAGCATCTTCTTAACTCACTGTGGCAACTTTCAAAACTTTTACCTTAAAAGACCAAAAATGCATGGTAGGTGTTACTGTTAGTAGGAATTTGTATCAGGGCAGTGTTTCAGTAGCACCGGGCTTAAATCAGTGCTCTGCCCAGCAGGCTGGAGATGGGAGATAGGTGCTGCAGGTACAAGTCAGTGCTGCAGAGGCCGGGACATTTGCTAAACAGCAGATTCAGTATATTAGCAGCAGCCACCAGATTTCAGTCCCTTTCCTGTAGCTCTTGAGTTTTATTCCTGGAAGTAAAACAGCTCGACTGTACAAACGACATCCTGCCCCTGACCTCTCATGCAGAAGACTTGTCTGTTCCCCATGGGTTTGATCCCTTCCTGCTTTGCTTGGGAGTGAAGGAAGCTCCTGGGGCCTCCTGTTGGAGTTGTCCTCCAAAAGGTGAGCTTCCAGCTCTCCTTCATGGCCTGCTCCAGGACCTGCCCAGGCCCTCTACTCAGCAGCAAAGATGGTGGCCTTGCTCATCTCCCATTTCTAGGTGGATTCTCCACCATCCATTTCCTCACCATTTAAGAGAAAAGCTATTAATAAACCATACGTTACGGTCACATTTTGGTATCTCAGTAAAATCTCCATCAACAGGAGATCCATCCTAATCGTGACAGCAAGCCTGTGCAATTGCATCTTGCCAGTGGAAACCTGGAATTAGTGTTGGACTCTTCTCAGAGAGCAGGTCTTGGGCTGGCATTGCCTTTTTCCTACTGTAACTTCTTTTTCTTTATGTATCATTTGTTCCTCTTCCCCTTTCCCTTGTATTCTTCTTACATGACAGTCTTTGAGTTAGCAGAGGAAGTCCGCAAGTACCACGAAATGACCTGTTGTAGCGTTGCCTCCAGAGAATCAGTCATGATACAGAAGGTCCTCTGTGGCCACATTGCTTATACTACCACAGCAGGCTGGCCATAACAGACAGGGCAAATTGGACGGTACCAGGATTTGAAACTGCCTTTTCATCTCTACAGGTTGGCTGCATCCACAATAGACAATTCAATTCCTTTAAATTTATAGTTAGCCTTGAACTGCAATGTGGAGTCCTTAAGCCCCAACCATTAATAAAACAGGATCAGAATTTTATGGCTATCTCTAGGTGGGATATTTCAGCTACAGCAAAGTTAACTTCGCATACAACCATCAGAGGTGAACTGAAAGGGCAAATAATATTCTTCAAAATGTACATCAATTAAAAAAACTGCCGAGTCTGTATGAATGTGCCTTTGTAAGTGTGATTTTCACTGGCACTCAATAAATCTAGTTTGGTTAGGACAGAAATTTGTTAAAAGCACATTTCAGTCTCATGCCCAAATACTTTCAAAAAATGCACATCATTTTCTGCTATGCTCGTTCATTTGGTCTAGCTAGTGGCCCTTAATCAAGGGAGCTTGAGTACTGAATCATATACCCACATTATAAAATAAGAAAAAAAAATACTAAAGTAACAAAACCAATTTGCAGTAGCAACTGACAGTGAAAAGAATTGTCATTGATTCATGTGTCCTGTAGCAGTAGAGAGGACAGCTAATCCAGATACTCAGAACAAACTTTTTTCTTGACCCTTATGAATAATTACACTCTTACTCTAAAGTCAGTAGGTGGCATATTGGAAATAAAAGCAACTGATTTTAATGTTAGGACAAGTAATTGAAACATTTCAGGGCACTTCTTATTTGCTGTTACACAGAAAGGAAATGACAGACACCTCCTTTTTTCTATGTTCCTGACCTACCTGGTGACTTGAGATGTCTACAGAATCAGGTGAAATGAGGATAGGGAAAAGAAATGAGAGCACACAAAATCCAAAAAGCAGACAACACATACAGGATCACCCAGAAATATGAGGAAACATGAGCCAGGACTTGAAGTCCTGAAGCTTTCAACCAAGAGAATACAGTATGTGCAGTTATAATACTTAAATATTCATGCCTTTTTATCTCTTCTGAAAACAGAGAAGAATGAAGAAGAGGAACAGGAAGCGAAAAGAGAAATAAAACGTAGACTCAGTAGAAAGGTGATGATGTGTTTTTTGTATTGTGTATTTGTGTACATGGGATTATTTTTTCTAAGATGCTAAAAAGCAGTGTGTATACATTACTGCACATGTCCATCAGTCATGCCCCTAGATTAGAAATCCATTTAAAAAGCAGTACAAGCTCAGTTCATCTTGGGGGAAACTCCATCCTGTCCAGTTTCCCATACCTGGAAGAACATTCAGAGTCTGGTCACGCTTGATATTTGTCCATGTAAGCAGGGGAGAGAAAATGAGACGTGTTTCTTCTGTGATCATGACCATTACTGTCATGTATGTTCAAGGGCAGCCACACCTGTAGATCCACTCCTCCCTAGAGCAGGAGAGAGGGCAACAAAGCAATGTGGGCCCTACAAAATCCCTTCACCGTTCTTCTAGCCATGTCAGTGGTCTTGGCTGCTCCAGGTGAGATTGTGCTCATTGCCCCTGGAAATAAAGCAGTTACGGATCTGCTGCCCTGACTTTGGGAGCTTGTTCTAGGAGAGGATGGGTGTTGTTTTCATACCTCTGCCTAGTCTGCCCTTCTCTGCAAAAGTACAGTTTCTGTAATGTGATCATCCTTAGTTAATTAAAATGAGTTATTTGAGGTGATTGAAACAATTTGGTATCATAAGGAGTAAGATAGATTATCTGTCCCCTAGATGTTAAAAATAAAATATTTTAGTTAGGCAGGTGCCTGCTGCTTATTTTCAATAGTATGGTTGAACACAGCAGACTGTGTAATCATTAACATAGAAGGACCTACTGTCTCATGGTGTAAAAGGTGTGACAGTTGCAGAGTCACAATTAATATTCCAGGGATAACTGTCACGATTCTCTGTGACCTGCCCGACAAAGACTATTTTTATAATCGAAGAAATTAGGTTGTGCTGCTTCCCCATTCCCATGCAGCACTCCCAGGATGGTGCCTTTTTTTAGACACCTGAAAGTGACCCCGGTTAGAAATACCAGTAAAGTTCTCCTGAGATTACATCATACCGTCAGCTTTTATTTTCTTTTATTTCTTTTTATTAAACGTACTATTTTCCGCCTCCCGCTTACAGCTCAGCCTGAGGCCTACAGTGGCTGAACTTCAAGCAAGGAGAATCCTTCGGTTTAACGAGTACGTGGAGGTCACAGATTCTCCGGATTACGACCGTCGTGCTGACAAGCCTTGGGCCAGGTTAACTCCCGCAGACAAGGCAAGGAACAAGTGCAAATTATAAGAAAATGCTTGCATCTGTCACTTTTGGGGGGCTTTCTTCTGATTTACATTCTTTTAATGCCAGCATCACGGATGACATCTGCTGGAGGCAGCGAGATTGTCAGGGTACTAGTGTGTATTTATTGCTTTTGCAGCTAAGAAAACTCACTCAGGTGCCTCTTATGAGCATATTTGCCACCTCCATTATGGCAGATCAGGCCAGAATTTCTTGCATTTTTAAAGCCTTGCTAAGCCAGGTACACACTGTTAGCAAAGGTGGCCATGACCCATGAAATTCAGGCTGAGTTTCTGCAGGCAGAAACCTGTGTCACTGCCACCAAGAGTTACTTTTGCAACTCAGTCAAGTGAAAAAAGGTAGAAGCTGCTCCATCCTCCTGAAGGTTCTTGGCTACAGCTGTCAGTGCAGGAGCTGACCGTGTGCATGCAGCACACCTTCTTGGGAAGTTTGCCCCCAATATGCTGCAGATAGTAGTTCCTCTGCCTAACTACAAAGGGTGAGACAAATGATTGTGTGATTCTCTTTTAAAAAACAGATCAGTCAAAGATTACCGTAACTCTTTCATTTCCTTTCTATACCACTTCATAAAAGGAAAGCTGTAGGATTTATGTATCAGAAATTCCTGGCTCTTTTAGCACTGGGTCTGAAACAATTTTTATGGAAATCCTATGAGATGTGCTTGGCATGATAAGTGGTATGTTGCAAGAACCCACTATCTTTTAGCTAAGGACTGTGAAGCACTGATTTTATTTCAACTTGTATTTTAATATTAATGCCAGCTTATCTGACAGTCAAAAGAGAATCTCATATCAAGTCAAGGTGGAGGCATTAAAAATGTACCCAGAAGTGTTTGTAGATGTTGGTTCTGGGAGGTGCTGAGCACTCCCTAGTCCTCACGTAGTCTGTGGGAGGTTAGAGCACCCAGCACCTCCACTCTCAACTAGGTCCGGCCAGGGTAAACTGCACTAGAATAAACAGCGAAATTTCATACCTACTTTAGGGTAGAGGTTTTTAATCTCAGTTCATTCTGTAATGAACAAGTGCCCAAGGCTGGTTCTGTGATTCCCATGTTTGTTGGCCTCAGCAGAAAGGCAAAGACCCCTGGTTGCCTGGAAACTCCCTTGCCCTTTTTTCCCAAGGAAGTCATTTTTCTAATTCCAGTGGGAGCAGAAAATTGTACTGTAACTATATTACAGAGCTGGGGCTCTGGTGTCTTTGCTGCTGATTCAGTGCTCAGAAATAGCTGTCTCTTTCCTAGCTATTACAGCAGCCTTGTGTAAGCATGCTGTTGTGGCTAAACAGAACCATCTCCTGCTTAAAATGCAGTTTCTCATTTGTGAGACCACAGTCTGGTGATGCTATAATTTTATCATGCTGCTTGTCTGTTCTGCGTTGAAAGGCATGCACACCAGATGAGATTTCTTTAGGGATTAATGAAATTATACTGCTTTATTTAAAATGGTGAAAGAAAACAATGAGTAAGAATAAACTGACATTTCATTTCACAGTGAAGGTAGGAAAGCATGTGGCATAGAAACAAAAGCCCATATGGTATATATTAGAATATTTCAGAAATTATATTTATTACTTGACAAAGTAAATTACTTATTACTCTTTTTAACGTAAGCAACAAGGCATGTACAAAATGCACTGAATTTCTGTTCTTTACTATATGCAAACTGAAAACACAAGCCTGAAATGTCAAAATATCTCATATAATTTTACATAAAACTAATCAAACCAAGTTACTAACTCCCACTTAAAAAACTGCTGTTCATCTTGCATTCCTCAAGTCCTGTCCCCAGTGGGAAGATACAGGGCCCCTGCTGAGTGTACAGTGCCTGTGCAGGCAGCGTGACTCACCAGCTCCTCAGGGCTGTGCCTGGAGATAGAGAACCATAGAGTCATAGAATGGTTTGGATTGGAAAGGACTTTTAAAGGTCATCTGGTCCAACCCCCCAGCAGGGAGCAGGGACATCTGCAACTAGATCAGGTTGCTCAGAGCCCCATCCAACCTGACCTTGAGTGATTCCACGGATGGGGCTTCTACCACCTCTCTGGGCAACCTGTTCCAGTGTCTCACCACCCTCATTGTAAAAAATTTCTTCCTTACATCTAGTCTAAATCTACCCTCTTTTAGTTTAAAACCATTACCCCTTGTCCTGTCACTATAGGCCCTGCTAAAACATTTGTCCCCATCTTTCTTGCAGGCCCCCTTTATATAGTCCCTTTGTGGTTGCACACTCAGCAGGTGACTGTCGAGGTAACCCAATCCCTTGCCCTTTTTTGTCTGTAGCAAGTGCCATTTTTTGGTGGGGGATTGGTTCACCCATTGCGGTAGATTTGCTGTTTCTTTGTTTATTGTTGGTGTTTGATGCTTTGAGTTTCTTTGTAGTGTACTACTGTTCCAAATAGCTGTAACTGAAAAGAATATTTCGTGTTGATGATGAGAAATGTGTGAGAGCTGTGGTAAGGGAGACTGGAAAATGGGAACTGTAAGGGAACCTGCAAGAATAGGGCCAGATTCCTCTCAGACTCTACTTCCTTTAATACTCATATTTCTTACGGTTGCTTATATCATTATTGTTTATTAGGCAGCAATACGGAAAGAACTGAATGAATTTAAAAGCACAGAAATGGAAGTACATGAGGAAAGTCGGCAATTTACCAGGTGGGTGAATCCCTCTTCTTGCATACGTTGGAGAGGTGAGTATGACAGTGACCCTCTGTAAGTCATAGAATCATAGAATCATATAATATATTGGGTTGGAAGGGACCCTCAAAGGTCATCTAGTCCAACCCCCCTGCAGTGAGCAGGAACATCTTTACTAGAGCAGGTTGCTCAGAGCCCCATCAAGCCTGACCTTGAATATCTCCAGAGGTGGAGCCTCCACTACCTCTCTGGACAACCTGTTCCAGTGATCTACCGCCCTCATATTGCAGAACTTTTTCCTAATATCCAACCTAAAACCCTTTTCTAGTTTAAAACCGTTACCCCTCATCCTATTGCTACATGCCCTTGTGAATAGTTCTTCCCCAGCTTTCTTATAGGCACCTTTCAGGTACTGGAAAGCTGCTATAAGGTCCCCCCAGAGTCCTCTGCAGTTGTGGCGTGACTGGCTCCTTGCATAGATTCCTACCATGAGTCCTCTTGAATCCCACCTGAATCCCACCACTGATTCTGGTGGGATTCCCAGTGTTGCTGGTGCCATCCCTGAAGTTGAGTAGTTGATACAGCAGTGAAGGTCACTGCAGTGGATCTTTTGCTACATGGAAAAAAGATTGTTTGGAAAATCTTAAAAATAATCCTTTGAAAGGACTCAGGATTTTTCACACATAAAGTTAACAGTCCTCAAGCACAGAAAAAAGAGATGTCCTTCTCTGGCAGTACTCCCTTGCTCAGGAAAGTATACATTTTTGTAGATGTGTTTGATAAGTGAAAACTAGATGATGTGTTGAACTTCAGAAAAGCTCACCAGTGTTTTAGGGAACTTCCTAAGGGTCACCTAGGCTCCTGGCAGCAGTTTTTGGGGAACAAGACAGATTCTCATATTCCTTGTTTGCTATTTCTAATGTGTTAATTTGGATTTGTTTCGTTCTCTGCTTTGGATAACATTGTCTGAAGCATTATTATTTAAAGACCTCTGAAGTGTCCACAGTTTTTAGTGGGACTTCAAATTTGGCAGTTATTCCTAGAGGTAGAGAGGCGCTTTCTGCCATCCCCGTGGCTTCTGGTCCTACTTTTTTTTTAAGTTATAAAGGCTGAAAATTGCCACCTGCAAGCAAAACTTGCTGTTAGGCTCCCCTGACAGAGCATACATAGTATTATTGTCTTCACTTCCACACAGAGTTAAGTCAGATAAAAACAATTGCCCAAGACTGGGTCCCTTCCTCTTCCTGTGACTGTTTCAGTCAAACTCAGGATCCAAGCGAGTGTGAATTCTCTAAAGAGAGTGTCTCAAGGAAAATTCACAATGGGAGATGGGTGTTTGGTGATTTCTGGCATCTCCTAGTTCAGCGCTTGATTTCACAACTTAACAAACCTAAGCCAGGAGTTACGAACCAGGAGGCAGGGTTTTATCTAGTGTCACGTTCTGATCGTTAGAAAATGTCCTTTTCAAACATGGACTTGTATATTTTCATTTGGCTTCTGATGTCGTTTTCTCTTCAGGTAGTAGGTAGTATATCTTCTTCAGAATATATAAAAATGCTACTTTTAAAAAATGGGCATCCTAAGGAGGAGAAAGAAAATGAGCAGGAATAGAAACCTGGTTGTGTGCTGACAGAGATGGAATACAACCCCCTGCTTATGTTGTTAATGTTTTTTGAGTTGCATTGCAATATAGAAGCCTAAGTACAGATAGGCATGAGTCATACAAAAAGCATTGGCTATTTTTTCACTAGAATTGAAAACAGTTGAGACTGATTACAGTTGGATTCTTGAAAGCTGAACCAAGAATCTCAGGGATCCAGTGTGGAGTGACAAACCAGTTAAAAAGTGATTTTTTTTTTAATCCTTTTTTTTTTTTAGGAGAGCCTTGGAGAATGGAGTAAAAATTAGGCACAGACAAATTGTGATAAATACAGGCAATGATGCCATAGGGTCATGGAAGAATCTCAGCCTGAGGGAAATTTGTCTCTCTCCGTTCCCTCTCTGCCCTCTTTTTTTCACTGGTCATGTTGTGGAGCCCCACTGCACAGAAGTCAGCAGAGTAACACTAGAAAAAAATAATTAAGGGCAGAATTAGATGCAGATGTTTTAAATCAATTGCAATTTTGGAAATAAAAGGAGATTCAGTTTCCTCTGGGACCTCTCATTAAAAATTATGTAGTTCACCACTACATTTGGATTGATACAACAGAAGTGTTAGGAAAACCATACACAAAAGTCTCTGGCCAGAGAATGAATTTCTCATCTTTTATTTTTTTTCAGGAGTGATCACTGAGATAATATAAACTAAAAGGCTCTTGCATTAGCAGCTGGTTAACGAATGTTTATTTGTGAAGTTCTGTGGTAGAATGAGACAACAAGGAAGATGCTTATTAAACAAAAATACATTAAAAATATAGTTTCTTATATTATTACGTGTTCAATATAAGAAGCTCTTATCTTTTAATTGTTCAAATTTGATGTTAAACTTGGGAAAGAAAAAACACTGATTTTCATTGTTCATCATTTACTGTAATGACTGTCAGTTGACTGTTTTTCTCCTCCTGGTAATTTAGATGGATTCCTTCTGTTACATCGTAGCAGAATCCAAGCAACTGAGTTTCTAAAGATAGATAAATAAATAAAAGTTTGGGAAGGGGATATTAGTAGATGTTTATAAAGTGCTTCTAATGGAAATGCCATATATAGCCCAATATATTGTTGTTCTACACAAATACAAAAACCCCGTGTCTTTTTTGCAGTGCACTGTACCCTCACTTAGCAGATGAGCTGCATACTTGTGAATGCCAGCTTTTGGGTACGCCTCCTTTAGCTGAGAAATGCATCCCTGTGTTGTACTGTACCACATTACAGGGTAATAGGTGGCTCGCTTTTTTTTCTCTTCTCTGGAACTGTTAAGAGAAAATGCATCAAACAAAAGCTTAACGTAAACCTACTGTGTTAGGTGCCTCATTACTTACGCTTTTTTAAAGTTGCTGCATCTTTTATTACTTCATGGATAGATATATTTCTTAATCCATTTAAACAGAGATTTAGAACTCTAGTGATAGATATGTTGAGCACCTGATATTGGTGCCCTTCTTACCCTTTTGCTTGGATTCCTCCTATTTAAGCTGAGTTAGAATTTCAGTTCCTGTAGGCTCCGAACTTATTCTACAAATGGTTGGTGACATCCTTTGGAGAAACCCACCTTTCTCTGAGGCAATCTGGAGTGACGTGCATGCCCTACCTAAAAGTCTAAAAACCAGTGAGGTCTATTTGAGCCTTCATATACCACAGTTGTCAATAGGAAGAAAGCATCTGCAGTGCTATAAAATGTGTTGCTTACTTTAAAAAATCCAGAATTTTTGTTGGCCTGATTCTGAAGAAGCGTTAAAAAACAGAAATTTAAGTTTTATGGCTTAGGAAAGCTTTTATGATTTACTGGCAGTGTCTCCAAATACTGGATGCAATTTTGGCTAAGTCTATATTGGTAAACAAAACTGGAGACTGTTCTCCAGCACTGAGGCCAGCAGGCTTGGCACAGCTTGAATTCATACAGTTAACCTCTTCCCCCCACCCCAAAAGAGGGTGACGTCCCCCTGTACCCAGTCTGCCTGTTGGCCTGTGCTTAATCCCAGCCATGCCCAGGCAGTATTGGGAAGAGCACTGGTTGACCCGAGCAAAATGGTGCCAGAGACCACAGTAATAACAGGTTAATGGTATGGACAGAGGGAGGTACACCCATGCTTGAGCCACACCATCGCCCTGTTTGGTATTTTAGTAGAGACAGACAGACCAGCAAGGGATAATAGGGCTGACTCCAATCTCGCTTAGACCAGGAAAATCAGGAATAATTCTGTTCAGGCAACAAAAGTAAACAGCTGTGAGAGCAGAATGAGGATCAGTGTCATTGTCAGTTGAAATAATTTACATTTTTTAATGATTTATCATTTCAGGTTTCATCGTCCATAACTGTTTGATAACAGCCCATATTTCATGTAACAATTTTCTTTGGGAAAATCATTGCGTCCTGAAGACCTGAGATTGCACTGGAACTTGACTGAGTGTGAGTGTGTGCTACAGCTTACCCTGAAGTTAATGAAGGATGTGGCCCTCATTTTTATCAATGGACAGATGATTTGTCTAAGAGGAGGAGAACCCACATAAAGTGTTTGTCAGTGTTAAGACAGACTGTGGTCCTGTGGCTAGCCCACACAGATAAGTCAGGGGACTTCTTCATCGGAGCTTCGCAAGTCAGGAAGAGCTGAAGACAATCGCCTGAGAACCTGTTACCAGGAACTCACCAGACTGCATAGGGTTGTGACTCAGGGTAACTGCGGAGGGCAGTGTGAAAAGGACTGAGAGCCTGGAGGAAGAGAGACTTTGCTTGTCGGTCTGCAGAGAAAGTGAAGTGGATGGGACTGCTTAATGATGCACTTGGCTAGTGGGAGGAATTATTTTTTTAAAAAAATGAGAGTGTGAGCAATGCATGTATTTTTTTTTTAGTGGCCACAGCCTGTCTTAGAACGACAGCAAACCACAAGTCCTCATGTTATCAGTACTTTAGTGAAGAACTGTAATTTTCTCTGGTGCCAGTAAATTCAGTTGCCAGAAATTAGTCCTAGTATAACTCAGCTGTCTTTTTTAAAATCCCGGTGAGCATGCTTCAAGAAAATACACTGAACATTCATACAGAACAAGTCATATATTTTTTGGTTTTTAATGTTGACATACTCTGTATCTTCAGAAATACATAAACAGGATTTGAAGGACAAATAACATGTGACACTATGATTGCAGTTAAGTGCTTCATGTTTGGAAACACTCCCTGCTGTCTGTCACTTGCCATTCAAACCAGAGGGATCATTATCTTTCTCACCTATGGCAGGCAGTGGTGACAACTTCAACATCAGGCTAGTATGAATCCAAAATCAGAATTGAAATTGGGCACAAAAGTCTTTACTAGTAGGCTTGAGCAGTGATTACTAATGTGACTTTTTACATTTAAGGACTCTTCC